CATTCATTCTTTTCCATGTTCTCTTCTCATCTTTGTCCACACAAATCTGTATATTTTATATACCAATAAATTATACCTTGGGGGTTTTTCCTGATTATAAAAGTAATGCCTTTCCTAGCATTCTAGGAATGGCATCTTGCCTTAGAAGATTAGGCAAGATTCACATATTATGGAAATAAGATTATATAGAAAGGGAATGTCTCCTGTGTCTCTACATCCTCTAATACCTTTAAACCGATCCAGGCTTCTTACTTCTTGCCAAGTGGTGATGACTTGACTTTCTCCCGTCTATGCCCTTCCTCTCTTACACTCCTCATCTCGTTTTTGGAGTTATTGCCCACTCCTACCAGGGGCCCAGCAACCCTGGAGCCTGGTTATGAACAGAGGCACAGACTCACAGTCCATTTATTATCAATTATTTAAATGCACATAACTCAGGCTTCTCCTCACCTGTCTCACTTAAAGGTTAATGAGACCGAGTTTTGTGAGCATCTTGAAAGCAAAGTGCACAAAAACACCAAATGGGATCGGTTTCCTTTGCTCTCTGCCCCATCATCATAGTTTGCCAAAAAAAAAAAAAGGGTCATGATCTTGCCAACAACGAGTAGGCATGTTCTGACGGCCATCACTCCTGCTACTGCAGCAGCTGACCACAGCCACCTGCCCAGCACAGTGATGGTGCTAACATGAAACCATAACAATAATTTTATTCCAGAGACCAAGGGCTGCACTTCTGATCAAGGGCTGAAGAGAGAGGACAGGGACATGGGAAAGGCTTGCCAAAATTCACACGGGTGGCCACTGGCAACCAAGGCGCAGAGCACCGCCTCGGCAGCCCTGGTGGAGACTCCCTGCCTCCCCAAGAGCAGAGTCCCCCCTCAGAAGATGCTAAAACATCAGCAGATAGTTTCAAATATCTAATGCACTTTACACAAATCTAATCATTATCTTATCTCCTCCCTAGACTTGGCAGGACCACAAAGAGCTAATTTTATGACAACCATTCTTTGACAAATAAAAACTAACGGGAGGTAGGAATTGGCCAAAAAATTTGGCAAAGCAGGACACGCCAGACTTAGTGAAACAGAAAAACCAGCTTCACCTAGTGCTCTAAACGAAGTCCCCCCTCCTCAAATGGCTGTATCACAGACCCCCAGAATGGGACAAGAAGGACCCAATAGAGACACCCAGAGGGTGCATTCTACTGCAACTCCCTCATTTTACTGATGGGAAAACTGAGGCCCGGAGAAGTGAACTGACTTTCCCAAGGTTACACAGTAAATTAAAGTAGTGGACGAGCCTGGCCCAGAAGGCAATTCTTAGGAGTCCCTGGTTGGTGGTCTTTCTACCAAATCCCACCAGACCTTTTATTATGGAGAGTCTGTCACTCTGTCTCTGACAAACCATTTCAACTGAGAGAAACGCCATCAACATGTATCAACATGCAGAATATGCACTAATAACACATTAAAATTAAAACGGTAATCTGACTATTTTCCTTACATTTATTTCTTGGTAGTACAACATTGTTGAAAATAAATGAACACAAAACAGTTTTTAAATCTGGATGGGAGCTTCTTAAAAACACTCAAATCATTTTGAAGATATGCTGTTCCAATTAAATCTAATTCTAAACTTCAAATCAAGTATGTTTTACACAAGAATGCTTATTGAATAATAATGAAACCAGTCGAAGATATTCTCATATGAGATAAAACTTTTAAGTTCTCTTGCTGTGCAATTAAAGGACTGTCCGCCGCCTCAGAGGGGTTTTCTGGGGAAGCTGATATTTATGTCCAAGATGTTGACACATAAGATAATACATGTAAGAAGCTTAATATCAGGCTTAACACATAGTAAGCATTGAACAAATGCTAGTTTCCCTAACCCGGGGTAGGAAAATAAGTATTGCCCACATAACTAGTAATATCTTCTTACAATACTTTCCTAAAAGTCTGTCCTACACCTCTGGAAGCCAGCCCTGGTGGTCTACTGGTTAAGATTCGGCATACTGAAGTAGCCCAGGTTTGTTTCCGGGTCAGGGAACCTTACACCACCCATCTGTCGGTTATCATACTGTGGGGGTCATACACTGTCATACTGTACATGTTGCCGTGATGCTGAAAGCTACACCACTAGCATTTTAAATACCAGCAGGGTCACCCATGGTGGACAGGTTTCAGTGGAGCTTTCCAGACTAAGACAGACTAGGAAGAAGGACCTGGCCACCCACTTCTGAAAAAATTGGCCCTGAAAACCCCATGAATTGTAGCAGAGCCTTGTCTGATTTAGTGCTGGAAGACAGGATGGCACAAAAAGACCAGGCAGGGTTCCGCTCTGCTGTACGCAGGGTTGCTATGAGTTGGAATTGACTCCTTGGCACCAAAAATAACAGCCCTGGAAAACTTAAGGACTTAACGTCATCAGGATATTGTCTATTTTAAATGTGTAACTAAAAAGGGTATAGATAGACAACATTCCATTTTTCTTAAAAAATAAATTTAGATATCCAAAAATCAGGATAATCAACATAACACTATTCTAATATTATGGCAAGGCTTTCAGTATTAATTTCTGCTGTTAACGGAAAAAAAAAAAAAAATAATTCAATGTTTGCTGTTGTTTCTCCAGTGGCAGGAAAAGAAAACAGCCATCAAAAAGTTGAAACATGGGGGCCAGTCTGATGGCACAGTGGTTAGGTTCATGCACACTGCTTTGGAGGCCCATGGTGTGTGGGTTCGGATCCCAGCCCCGACCTACACACTGCTCATCAAGCCATGTTGTGGTGGTGTCCCATATACAAAATAGAGGAAGACTGGCACAGATGTTAGCTCAGCAACAATCTTCCTCAAGCAAAAAGAGGAAGAAGATTGGCAATAGATGTTAGCTCAGGGCCAATCTTTCTCATCAAAAAGAAAAAAAAAAAAGTCAAAACATGACATAAAAAGAGTAACAGTTTTAAAATATTTTATCTTTGTACAAGCGGATTCTTGTGATATTCAGCCTTTTCTTAAAAAAATTTTGTAGTCAGTGTTCATATTACTGCAGTTAAGTGTAAAATACCAGTCTTTTACACTTAAGCTCATGAAGCTGTTCCACTACCACATTATCAAAGTTTCAGAAAGAGGAATCCCACTGGCTCCTTGGAAGTAAATTATTTAGTTAAAAGTATCCTTGGAAGAGAGAATCAAAGTATAAGACATAAACACCTTCCCTGAAAAAGGATCTCAACTTTAGAGTCCTTTTCCAAAAGCTCTGAGCAAAGATCTAGACCAATCCCTGTTTATGAAGGCTCTGAGTGATTTTTCGAGGTCATCTAGCAAGGTGATGACAAAAGAACAGCACGAGAAATGTTGCATCTGTTCCCCCCAACTCTGTTCTATCAGCCCATTCTACTCTGCTGCCACCTGTGTTCTCTCAGCAGTTCCCCCAGCACTGAGGTTCTTCATCCTCTTGACAAATGTCTTCCTTCCAAAACAGTGCCATTTCTAGGATTCCGCAAGTTCCAATAAACATTTGTTGAACAAATATTGCTTTCAGGCTACCAACTGAAAACACAACAAAGCTGCTACCTAAGTTCTTAAAGAAATCCCCCTTCAAGTATTCTGTCTGTTCCTGAAAGGCCAGCTACACGAATTCAGATACTCTTAACTATCATGGCAATTTGAGGACAAGATTTGAAATATAAATCTATGACAAGAAAAGAGAAAGAAGACTTAAGAGACCCAAATCCAGAGCAACAGATCAGGATGCCACTGTTTGTTTTCTAAATCAGTGAAATATTAAAACAAATGACAAACCAATGCCAAACTCACAAAGTTTCCTCATTTCTTGAAATTCAAACACAACTGCTGGCATCATTTTATGATAATCCTTTAGATATTTCACCTAAGTCATCAGGCGCGTAAAGCCAGTGACTGAGGGACGACTTCGACAAGACTGTGTGTGCCCTCTGGGAGCCCGGTATCGTTCGAGCTTCCGACACTGAACTTATCTCCTCCCAATTTTGGCCCTCCCCAGCCACTCGATCCATCCAAAGGCGTTTGTGACAGTCGTGGCCCGAAACTGAGCAGAACTTGACTACAAAACGGCCACAACTCTAAATCTGATTTCTCCAGTTTTTTTTTAATTCAAGTCCCACGCTCCCTCGGCCCTTTGCCCCTGACCCCTGGGTTCTAGAGCTCTTCACCAACGTCGAAACTAGCTTACATTGTTTCTATGGGACCCCGCACCCTCCCTCGGTCCAGCAATGTTTTCATCGCACAAATGTCATTTCTAGCCTTCAACCCTCCATTCCGCCCGGCGGGCAGTAGACGGGCTTTCAGGACCCAGTGGCCAGCTTCCCTGATTAGGTCCCCTTCGCACAGCCATTTTCTAGTTAAAACGCTCTCTCTGCCTCCGAGGGGGAAAATGAACTTTTCCCCTCTGATGTCGAAGCGGCTAGTCTCTGAACCCCGGAGAAGCCAGCCCCGTTTCCAACTCCCCGGCAGGAGCGCGCTGCCGCCCCGGGAGGGAGAGCCCAGCCGCACAGCGGAGGCCAGTGCCAGGGAAAGGGGGTGTGCGCTCTTCCCCGCCGGCGCCCACCTCACTTTTCCCCTCCGCAGCCCCAACCCGGGCGCACTCCCTTCAACCCGGTCTCCCTCGCCCCAGGCCCTGCCAAGCCGGGGCCGCCGAGGGAAAGAGGGCGCCGGGAAGCAGGAGGGATGGAAGTCAAGGAGTGAGCCCGCAGTCGCCGTGCCACCCGGCCCTGCGGCGCGGGCGCAGGGCGCACGGGACTCCGCAGCGGACGCCCGCTGCAGATGCGGCGGCAGCTGTGGCTGCGGCTGGGCGGGCGGCAGTGGCCACGCAGCCCTGGGGGCCGGGAGGAGAGGATCAGCCGCCGGGGCTACGAGCAGCCACTCGCCACACGCCGCTGCCCCTGCCGCTGCCCCGATCTCTCGCCAGCACTCCCGGGCTGCCCCGGGGTCCAGGGCAAAAGCAAGGAAGAAAGCGAGGCTCACCGGCGATGCGCGCGGCGCTCGCCTCGGCTCTGGCGCCCGGCAGCTCTGCTCCAGTCTCGCCCTCCCCGGAGCGCCCGGATCAGCTGCGGGTGCAGCGCACGAGCTTCCTACTTGAGACCAGGACGGGATCCGGCGACTGAGCATGCCCAGTGCCGCTCCGCGAGTCCCGCGCAGGGAGCGGCGCCGGGAGATTCCACTTCTCCAGGCTTTGGCGGCGGCTGCGCGAGGAGAGGCTGGAGGGGCCCGGCCGCGCGGGGGCTGAACGCGAGAAAGGCGGGGCCGGGGCGGGGGCCGGGGAAGAGGGGGCGGGCAGCGCTCCTAGTGCGACCCCTGCAGGCAGAGGCTGCGAGGCCTCTGGGACTCACGGTGCCCCTCTCGTCTGGGAAGATGGCAGGGGGGCAATGCGGGCCAGGGTATCGGGACCCAAAGGCCGGGAGTCGCGGTGCAGCCCGGTATCCCCTGCATGTGGCTTGGCGTCTGTCTGCACCAAAAGGCAGTTGGGTAACCTTATCCGTGGCTAGTCTTTTCTCCCACATGTCTGCATTCCCGTCCCCAGATGAGAGCTGCCCACACCCACCCACCTGTAACTTGTAGGCGAGACCTTCTCCTTCCTTCTGTCTCCTTATCCAGAACCCCAGGCATATGCTACACATACGCGCACACACACACGCCATTCCTTGAAATCACAGCAAGATCTCTTCGAGGAGAAACATACCTGAAGGAGACGAAATTTCCTTTTCACCTTCAAGAATATTACCTATAACTCGAATTGTAAGCAGACAAGCAAGGTCCTGATAAGAATGGGTACTCAGTAAGTAGTAATCAGTGCTCTGCCGCAGACACTGTGAATGACATCCCCAGGGTTGCCCTTCATCAGTGCAGTGGTTGTCAAACTTGAACCTGCATCAGAATCGCATGGAGGGTTTGTGGAAAAACAGATTGCTGGGTCCCACTCCCAGAGTCTCTGAATGGGTAGGTCTGTGGTGGGTCCCAAGCATCTGTATATCTAACAAGTTTTCGGGTGATACTGGTGCTGCTGGTCTGAGGATCACACTTTGAGAACCACCACTCTATATATACACACAGCCTTGATTATGCTAAAAGTAAATTAACAGTAAGTACAAAGTAATGGCTCCTCCTCACTCATCCTCTTCCCCAAACCTCCAGAATGCACTCCTTCCTCAGATAACAAACTCACACCTGGCCAGTTCTTATTCTTCATGTGAGGACTCTATGTGGTTGCAGTGGGCATTACTTTATCCCTTCAAACATCATGAATTCATTGAGGATCCACAAAGTCTCAGAGTCGGCCTGGGGATAGCAGCGAATAAAAAAGTCCAGACCTCTGCCTTCGTAGAGCCTGTCCTTGCTGTCTGTCCAGCAAGGTGGACAGACTTCCATCAAACAATCACTCAAAAATGTCATTTCAAACATGGAGAGCGCTGGGAGGGAAATCTACTAGGTGTGTATAACGGGACCCTGACGCAGACTTGGAGTGGGGCTGGAAGGAATGAGGGGTGGGGGAAGCTGCCTTGTGGAAGAAGGGTTTCCGGCGTTTGCACCCCTAAAACCTCTCCCATGAACAATTTCCCTCAGACCCATCTGGAGGCCAACAATCACGTCGCTCCTTCCTGCAACAGAAAAACAGTATTGCCACTGAGAAATCCCTATAAATCCACGAAAGTGCTCACCCTTGGGGCTGAGTCTCTGCATCCCAAGATCCGCCTATCGAGCCTGTGGACCATGGACAGTCCGGGGCCGCAGTTTAACCTACTTTGGGAAAATGCAGACCCTAAACTGGAAAACCTTCCAGTTCTAGTCTACACCCTCCAGGCCCGAGAAGCGAGGACATTAGCCCAAGACCACCCCGCCCGTCAGTAGCGGAGACAGGACCCGCCCCCAGCCTTCCAAGCGGGTCTTCTTTCCGCGGCACTCTATTCCCTCGGACCCCACAGCTCCCCGCGACTCCCCAAGAGTCCCGCCCTGCCGCCCCTCTCTAGGGGGTCCCGGGGCGGTAAACGACGCCGGCCGCTCCCGACTTGGTCTCCTCCGGACCGGGAGGAAAACCCGCAGTGGAGTCCTCGGCGGCGGGGCGGGGCGACGCGCGCAGGCGCAGTGGCGGCCAGGTTAGGCCGAGGAGGCGCCCGGCTCCACACCTGATGCGATCAGCCTTCCGGAAACCGGCCTGGCCGCCAGGCTCCTCCAGGAAACGCTTCTGCGCCCTCCCGCGGCCGCTGCGCCCCCCGCCCGGGTTCCGAGCCTCCTCGTCGCCCGACTTCGCCAAGGGTGGAGGGCGACAGTCGGTGTCCCACGGGGAACCTGCAGGAGGAGTCGAGAAGTCACCCTCTGGGAAAGCAAAATCCCTGATTGCCCTCAGAGTGACGTGGAAACGGCCACCGAGTGTTCCGTGGCTGCAGGAGGAAATTCCCTTAATTGTGTATTTCCAGAGAGGACGCGGGGGCGGTTTGGGGGGAGTGGAGGGGGTGGAGGAGACTTTTAACCTTCCTTTGCTTCCTTCCTTCCTTTGTCCGCCTCCCGACACGCATTTTCTTTCTCCCTCCCTGAAAGGAACGTTTATAGTAATAGCGGTTTTAAGGCAGGATGAAGAGGACTCCCCGATACCCTGTCCGTCTTGCTAAATATGTCTCAGCACGTTAGCTCTGGTACAGAAAGCCTGCCACCGCACGCTCGTTTTATAAATAATTGGTTTCTCTATACCTCATCATTTCCGTTTACAAAGAAAATCATCTCTCGTTTCACCACCTCATGCAATTTTGATATCTATTGTGAGTGCGTTTTTTTCCTTCATGCTGACTCACCCATAAATTGTTTTCCAAGGAAGTGAAATATTCCAAGAGCATATTATAAAAGCATGGAAGTAAAATTAACTCTGTAAATCCTTTAAGGCCAAAGGGAAAAAGAAAAGGCAGATTCAAGGAATTTTAGTTGGAAGGATACTTAGGAGATCATTCTAGAAATAAGTCTGGATCAACTCATATTTATAGAGGGCATTTACCTCTTTGTGGCCCAAAGAGGTAAATGACTTTTCCTTAACAGACAAATCAGCAACAGAACTGGCACTGGAACACAGATTTCTTGACAGCCCAATCTAATGAAAAAAAAAATTTTTGCACAAACGCTTTACAGAGTGCCAGACTATATATTGAGATGATGTTTTTTCAATCCAAAGGTTACAAAGCACAAAATCGGTGGCAACAAAAGAGATCCTATTACTTGTTCCTACGTCTGAAGTCATTAGTCTTTAAATAGTCCTTGATCTATCCAACCACTATACAACCTATCCAAACACTTCTAAGATAAGCAGAGATTAGGCATTAAATATTTTAGTTAAAGTGGTATGAAATTCTTCAGAAGTTCGAGACATCAAGAAATCTTTAGTGACAACATTTAGAACCTCTTGTATTTTTGCTTGATCATATGGTGTATGAACTGTTTGAGGTTAAACCAAGGGAATTTTACTGATCACAACAAAATATCAGGGTTATGATTCACCTCTGTACTGATTTAAATTACTTGAAACGGAAATCAAAGTGAAATACAAGAGTAACTGCAAAACTCATGCCTGCAATAAGATAATTTTTCAGAACCCTATCTACCTTTTATCTTGATGAATATGTATTTCTTTTTGGAATATTCTGACATTTAGAGATCTGGGAGAATACCTTCTACTTACACAAAAATAGAGTTGAGCAAATGTCAAAACACAGAGGTGCAAAATACAAACTCATCACAACGAGGTACTAGTTATAGAATAGCTAACCTTTACCAAGTGCTTAGCATGTGCAGATACTGGCTAAGTATTTTACATAGGTTACTAAACTTAATCCTCACAACTACCCTATGAGTGAGGTGCTATTGTTACCCCTATTTTACAGGTAGTGAGAGTGAAGTTTGAGAGTGTAAAGTAACTAACTCAGGGCACAACACATTCAGAGACAGAACTGGGATTTGAACCCAGGTAGTTTGCCTGGAGCTTGAGCCCTTAGTAACACTTTATAATAGTTGAAAGAGGTTGTTGGCGGTAACTAAAATTGATATGGTAATAAGGAATGTAAGTAAATATTCTATACAGAAAAATGGTTCTGATTTGTGTCTCATATAGGAAAGGAAGTAGAGTATTGCATTTCCTGTCCCTCCAAAGATAAGACTTGGTGAAATAACTTTGTTGTCCACACCAGGAAAGAACTTCTTCCTAACTAATGAATTGTTCCCAAGCTGACAAGCAATCTTACCCACAGATATGAGGCAGATGATCAAATACTCAGTGATTTTTTGGTAGTACCAGCAAGGCCTCCCCTCTGATGGACCCTCTCCAGGTCTGGCTGGTTCCTCTAGTCCTCAACTATCTAGTATGGTAGTCACTAGCCACATATGGATATTTAATTTTAAATTAATTAATTAAAATTTCAGTTCTTCAGTCATATTAGCCACATTTCAAGTGCTCAATAGCCACATGGGCTAATGGCTACTGCATAGGACGATGCAGGGATAAAACATTTCCATTACTGCAGAAAATCTTACTGGATGGCCCTGCTCTAGTCCTTTATCCCCATAGTATAAAGCTTTAATCTCTTCACTCTGCACCATTCCTCCTCTGAGAGGACTGTGTTTCTAGCTCTAACTTTCCCCTGAGCTTCAGTCCTATTTTTCCAAACTGAAATTATTATCAGAGTGTAGAATACTATCATGGAAAGATACAGACTTTGGAGAAAGACCTTATTTCACATCCCAGTTCTTTTATTTACCAACTGTGTGACCTTGGGAAAGTTACCCTCGCTGAACCTCAATTTTCTTATCTGTAAAATGGGCATGTTAATCTTTTCATCATGAGTTTGTTTAGGATTAAATGAAATGACACATGTAAAGCTTCTGGCAGGCCTCACATAGATTATTTCCTTCTTTCCATTTCTGTTTCAGTTAATGACATCACTAATTACTCAGGTTTCCAAACTAGAAATCTCAAGTCATCTTCGATTCTTCCTTCCTTCTCAACCACCCACGTCAAATTAGTCATCAAGCCCTATTGCTGCCACCTCAGGGATGTCTCTCCAATCTGGGCCCTCCTCTCTGTCCCCACTTCCACTGTCCTCATGGGCTTTTCATGAACTATTTCAGCATCCTGCTGACTGACCTTGGTGACACCCATCACTCCCAATCCAAGCCCTT